ATATTATCAATGCAATTTTACCCATAGCTGTGGTAAAACTAATTGTGTTGTAATATATTCACATTTCGTTATGATAAAAAATAGTTTTGTTTTGTTTTGTTTTTTAATCTCTCATTTCTCACTCAGGACCAAGCAATGTTTTCCAGTAAATGATCTTCACCATCTAAGAGCCCGGCAGTACTTCTCAGACAAAACGTACTGCAGGCTTTAATTAAGCATTTTACAAAAGCTATTTTCCAATACTGCCAATAAAATGTCTGGGCTATTTTTACATCATCTTAAGGCGCTAAAAAGGTGCTAAACCAAATGAATTTAATTTTAAACAAGGATTTTTATGTCCTAAGGAGAGGATTTGATTGTCAAGGCTTCTAAAAACTACTTGCCTGACTGCCAAAAGCAAGTTTACTTTTTAAACAAATGAAGAGCATCTATACAGTACTTTTGCTTCCACCTGTCTTCTTTTATTCTGTTTTATCCACTGTGATGGTTTAGATTAGAATATCAGATTTTATACATAAGGAAGAAATTAAAGAAAAGGCTTTTTGCTATAACTTGCAAATGTTACTGATTAGGAAAACCAAGGAAATCTAACTTTATTTAAGAAATGACCATTAATGGAAGTTTACTGAATGCACCCTTATTTTACTTTCTTTCCTTTTAATGCTTCTGTGGGATCCAAACAGATACACATACTGTGTTTGGGAGGTAAAGATTAGCTAACTCCTCCCCAGAACAGATTTAAAACATTCAATTCCAGCACAGGTCAAATTCTTTTATTCTAAGAGCCACAGCGAATAGATCACTGTAATGAAAATGACTCAAATCCTGGTAGATGGTCCATAGTTGTAATGCTCTGAATAGAGTTACTTACATTTGCTACTATCAAATGCAAGGACATTTTTGATGTTTTTTCCAAATTCTTGCCTATATAATAATCTTTCATCAACAGGAGGAAAAAAAAAAACAGATTAAACATGCAATTAAAAGGCCATGTGGTGCGCTGGGTGGAACAGTGGAGCTGAAATCAGATGTATGGGTGTGATTTTCAGCTCTGCCACTTACCTTTCTGACCCCAGGCAAAGTTCTCAACACCAACTTCAGTTCTTCACCTGCTAACTTGGGTCAGTACCTACCATCCAACAGTAAAATAATAAATGTGAAGGTGCTTTGCAAACTATAAAGCAGTATGCACTGGAAAGCATTCCCTTATTCAACAACTTAACAATTTACCAACAGTCCCTTTTAGATCACACACACTGTTCCTTACTTCTTCCTACAATGGCTACCCGTGCATCTGTTCTGACACAGAATTTTTGGAGTCATTCTTAACAGGCCTGAGCTGGCTCCCAAAACAGCTCCCAGACTATGACTCTGAAGTATTTTGGTCCATGTTTGGCCATGAGGGAGAGGAAAAGGCGGAGAGAGATCTCGTTCGAGTTTTTATGCACGTGTGATATGCTGGTGTGCTTCATTCACATTCTAGTCCTTGTTTAAAGCAGACGTTTTGCAAGTGGCCAGAATTTTTACTCTGAAAGCATCACTCTGAAAATACAGTGAATGCAAATGGATAATGATTGCAAACAAATTTAGTTAACTTTAATTGAGTGAAGTCTTCTTTGATTGTTACAGGTCAAATGCCTCATTACTCCAAACAACTGTCCAATTTTGAAGGGTTGAATGTTGCCTAAAATAAGTGACCCATCAAGGGGAATCTTTGCTATATGGTGTTTTTTATTCTAGTAATTTATAATAAGTCCAATACAATGAAAACAATTAGCTATCAACACCTATAATTCACAGTAACAGGATTTGGCAATAGCACACTGAAAAGAAGCTTATACTGCCTTCCTGTTAATAATAGCGTCTACAATTTCAAAAGTTAATTACTACAGCGTTTTTTTGTTTGTTTTGTTTTTTAATACCAAATGCTATCATGACATTACTAATTTGGCAGACCAATTCTCTCCCCCTTTCTAGAGCTGCCCTTATCATCCTCCTGTCTCTTGAAGGGAAAAATCAGTTAAATGCTTTACCTCAAATTCTTTCAAACTATGAATTTTACATTAGCTAAAGAAGTAAAAATACAAATGTGGGTCAAAAGTCAGACAACTATATAAGGAACTACATTCTCCTAAATTCTAATGTCTATAACCCGTGTCTTTAAAATGCAAAGACTTCGATCTTCAATTAATGTTTTAAAACTATTTCATTTATAAAAAGGTCAAGTCTGGGTTATATTTCTGAGTATTTCCTTCTAATTGATTTGAACAAATACTCTTACTTAAATGCAGCATGACTGTAGGTAAATGAGATTAATTTTGTGCTACATGGAAAAAGTTGTTTCACTGCCTTACAGTCTCGTGTCTCTTAAATTATAAACAGATCCCAACTATAAAGATCCCCATTAAGAACAGACCATGCAAACCATTTTAAAAGAAAGTAAAGACTAACTGAAAAGTGGGACTTCTGAGGACAGACTACTTCAGCTTTGTGGTTCTAAATGTAATAATAACAGTAACAACAACAGCTGTATGATACTATGGGCCAGGCACTGTTATAAGCATTTTCCATAAATTAAAATTACCTTTTCAGATAACTTAATTGATAATAAAGATTGTATCTTTGTCCCTTTGTCAAAGCATTTTTGTTTTGTTTCCTAACATGATCTTTTTTTTCCCCCCCTCTCTCTAATGGTAGATAGGAAGATAAAAAGAGCTAGGAGTCAGGTGGAAATTATTCTATAGCTTTGTAGTAAAAAACACCTTGACCAGAATCATCCAGCCTGCTCTAAGGCTTCAGGGACAACGACAGTTTACCATATCAATTTACTATAAAATGGTAACCAAATTCATTCCCCGCAATGGGTTGTTTCACCAGCCCCCACATCCCCCTCCTCCAATTCCTTGTGTATACTTCAGGAAATTATGTGCCTGAATCACCTCAGGACCAATCTTTTTGCAAGAAACTAAATCATCAATTTAAGCTGTTGAAACTTCACTTCAGTGTTAATCCAATAACACCATAAAAAACCTTGCATTTGTAAAGTACTTTAATGTTCCAAAGTGCTTCCACGTTCATTCTCTTACTTCAGCCTCCCTGTGAGATACAGCTGTAGTCACTTAAAGTCAGGATTTTCCTCAATAAACAATACGTTTAGAGAGCCGTTAAATCTCAAAAATAGCTACAAAGTCCTTTGAAGTTATTTCAAATCAGTAACTTATTGAATCAAGATAATCCTTGGGAAGTCAGGGTTCATTTAAGGAACAAGAAGATTTCACTATTTTTTTTTTAATCTTTCCTTAAACAAACATGAGTATTGGAAAGTATAGACAAACATCTATGAAAACTGGTCCTTTTCAAAGTGGGACAGGGACCCAGGCAGCCCTTATCACTTACATCAATATAAAGTGTCTTCAGCAGTTAGGCTCAAACAATAGCTTGAGACCAATTTACAGGTGTACTTTACAGGCTAAAATAGGTATGTTTCTGAAAAGCTGATGATGAAGTGAATTCTTGGAAATGAAATATTTTAAACGTATGGTTATGGTAGTAGTGGTGGTCACGGTGTGTGTGTGTGTGTGTTTGGGAGGGGGAGCTCACAATTTAAAGAAGTCCTGAATTGAATCCTTTGGCAAGCCAAAGCATCCTTTTGTCGTTTTAATGATCACTCTTTAATGTGTCCATGCTGCAAATGTGAGTTTTCTTGTATGGCAAGTTTTCTATAGCAGGGGAAGAAAGGGGAGAGGGGCTACACCTGCACTAAATAGGGAGCTTGTTAGGTGACTGTTGTGATCAGTCCCCGACTTGTTCTGCCTGATCAAGCACAGTGGGCAGAGATCCAATCACAAAAGCATTCCACAGAGCAAGCAAAGCAAAAATCTTCACTAAACTGACTACTGGAATGAAAACTGCTGGGGTCCATCCCTTCCCTGTACTGGGAAAGCAGCACATTCTACTAAAGAGAGAAGGCAGTTGAGACTATGGAGACATCATCCTCCACAATCACTTCCTGAGAACACCTCAAGACATGCTGATGACAAACCTTGCACAATGTACACAGTAAATTCACTTTAAGTCTTGTTGTCCAAGCCTGACAGCCCCTACTCTGCTTTATTTCTGCCTTTGGAAAAGTAGCCCTTTAAAAAACGTCCTCTGTTCCAGGATAGGATGCCCTTGGGGTCAGGTCTTCCTCTAGTCCTGTTATCTTGCTTTACTTGATTTCCCAGAAGACACACCAATTAGATGTTTTAAATACTTCATAAATCTTTCAAACAATAGTCATATCCATTATCAACTTGTCACCACACCCTCTGGGGGGGGTGTCAAATGAAGGAAATGAGGCACAGCAAAGGTGGCTTGCCTATCTCTACTAGTGACAGAGAAAAGGAACACTCAGGGTATCTGGCAATTTATCCTGTATAAAAAGAAAACAAATCAACACAAAAGCACATTCCACAGCCAAATACTCTTTTCTTTTAATCACCTGCTCTTCGGGATTATTTGTTTTACTCTCCCTCCAGACATTCATGCTAACAATTGAGATTTTAACCTTCTGGGTAAATCACAGTACACCAGCAATGACAACTAGTACTTTCTAAAAGAAAGTTTCAGAGAAAGTTATCCTCCCCAAACGTTAACCCTTGGTTGTTACTGCTTAATATTCTGTGCTCTTATTAAATTCTTGCACCTACTTAATTACGAGCATATACAGAAAAGCAGATTTTAATTATCAATTTGAAAATGAGTTGATCTGACTCAATTTAAGGTGTCCTGCTTTGCATAATCATTTAGTGATTGGGAAGGATGTTTGAAAGCATCCTCATGCTATATATCCTCGAGTTTTAACTACTCCTAAAAAGTAGAAGCACTGTTTTGATCATAATCGGGTTTTTCCAGAGAAAACACCTTATGATTGGATTTAAACTTAAGTTTCTGCAAAGATCACAAGGTATTGCATGAATAATTATAACTAAATTCCCGCCCTTCGTGCCAACCACCAGTTAATGAAATATTAACTCGCTTATTCCTAACACTGTAAACATAGTGGCACATCGATTAAGCAATGCCCATTAACTTTAAGGAAATGAATTTTAGACTTACCAACCTCTTTCGGGAGAGTCGAACTTCTTGCTGTCAGGTCTGGCAAAGTCCATTCTCACGTAAGTGTTGTCGTCGTCAGAATCTTCTCGCTCCGGGGGTCTTGGCACTGGGCGGCGGCGAGGTGGTGGCGGGGGAGCGGCAGCCCCACTCACCCCGTTCTCACCTCTGGCAGGATCTGCAGATGGGTTTGGGGCTTCGGGATTCGAGCCACAGGCAATGTTTTGGAACCCCCTTACGGCTTCAGCGGCGGCTGCAGCAGCAGCATTAGCAACAGGTAGAAACCAGCGGGCGGAGGCGGAGTCAAACCCAGCGGCCGCTTCCAAGCTCGCGGCGGCTGCGCCGACGCCCGGGGCCGCGGCCAGGGCGGAGGCTGCGGCTAAAGCCCGGCCCACCGCTAAGGTTGGAGCAGCGGCTGCCGCGGCGGCCGAGGCTAAGGAGGCAGAAAGCTCTCTCTCGAGGCTGTCGGTTGGAAAAGCAGAGACAGCGGCTCTGGCGGCTGCAAAGAAACTTTGCGAACGGCTTCGGGGCCGTCTTCTCTCTTGCTCTTCTTCCTGCAGCAACCTAGCTACAGGTGGCGGCTCAGAGCATCGGCTGGGGGAGAGAGAAATGTCCATACAGCACTCAGAAAATGGGTCGACCACATAGATTCGACCTGTTTCAGCATCATAGCGAATGGCACTGTCAGCAAAAGGCACGGCTGGTGTCATTGCTGGGTTGAAAATCACTTCAATGTAGTCGCCCTCTTCCTCGGCGTTGCCACCCGTAGCACTGGGAGGAAGAGGAGGAAGTGGCCACCTAGCACCGTCCAGAGATGGGGGATTGGCACCTGGAATAGCTCTTAAAAGATTTGAGAGGTGGTTTGCTGGATTTGGAAATGGCACTCCAAACTCAACATTCACATAATGAGAAAAGGCTGACAGTCTAGGGTCAGCAATTATGCCCCACGAATCTGGGAGTCTTTGAGAAGAGGGGACTGGCATATTGCTCTCTCTCTTAGTGAAGTCAATGTTGACGTAGTCACGAGAGCTGACAGCTCCTCTCTGCTGATGTGTGGGCTTTTGTGGTTTTGGCTTGATTTTATTTCCTTTTGTAACGAAAGGAAGTCTATTGGGTCTCTTAGCCTTGTTCTTTGGGGGCCCATCATCTGAGGGCTTTGAGGGTGACCCCCCATCTCCAGGCTTTGCGCACGACCCCTGAACTAAAGGCTTTGAAGGTGTATCTTTGGGGCCTCTGCTAGATGAGGCTTCTTTGTCTGGGCCCCTCCCCAGGAACTTCCCAGGTAACATGGGTACATACTCACTGTGGTCACTCTGTCCCAAGGGGGAGCTCTGAAAAGAGTTTGGCAGAGAGAAGTAGGAGCTCCAACTTTTAGACGAAGAGCCGCCCTGAGGATTTCTGGGGTTTTTTGGAATTGCACCAGCTCCAGGAGCCATGAACATGTAGTCACTGTCACTGTCATTGTCCTTTGAGTCATCCTCTTTATTAGGATCAGGTGCTTTGGGGGGACTTGGTGCAGGTGGTGGGCTCACTCTGGGAAACATCATCATGTACCCTCTTGAATCTTCAAAAGGTGATCGAGAGTGGCGCTTTTTTGAGGCAGAGACATTTTGAGGAGCCATGGGCATATAATCGCTGGAGCTTGCGAGAGGGGCAGCAACCCCTGGCCTCATTGGCACGTATGGGTCATCTTCATCTTCATCAAAAGCTCTGGCTCTGTGGGGACACCGAGCTGCACCTTCAGGGATCTCTGCCTCTTTGACATCCTTGGATTCTTTTCGTTCTTTTGTGGCTCCTCTGTCAGCACAAAAATAAAGTCGGAACCTGCCTCCAGACTTCCCTTTTCCACCAGTTGCTCCAGGTGGTGGGGGTGGAGGTGGGGGTGGTGGAGGTGGTGGCATTTGCTGTTGCTTGCTTTGAGTTAATTTGCCAAAGTAGGATCTTTTCTTCAGAGATTTTCCACGTTCATCATTGCCATCTGAGCCTTTCCCACTTCCTGAGCCCTTGCCCCCTCCAGAGTCCTTGCCACCACCTCCTGAGCCATGGCCACCTCCAGGCCCCTGGCCACTACCTGAGCCATGGCCACCTCCAGCCCCCTGGCCACTGCCTGAGCCATGGCCACCTGCGGTGCCCTGGCCATTTCCTGAGCACTGGTTTCCTCCTGCACCCTGGCCTCCTGAGCCCTGGCCTCCTGAGCCCTGGCCACCACTTGAGCTCTGGCCACCGCCAGAGCCCTGTCCCCCACCGGAGCACTGGTTTCCTCCTGAACCCTGGCTACTGGAGCCCTGGCCACTTGAGCCCTGGCCACCTCCTGAGCCCCGGCCATTTCCTGAGCCCCAATTGTTCATGGGCATGTAGTCGCCTCCATTTCCTTCCTGACTTTCATTGCTCTGAGGATTGCCTTCCTCCCCAGAGTTACCAGAGCCAGATGCTTCAGAAGACAGGCAAGCTCCGTCGTTGGGGGGTTCTGCAGGGGCAAGCATCGGGTTGGGTGCTAAGTGGCGAAAACAGCTGGCTGGCACTGACATTGCTCTCCTGGACCTGTGCATTCTGGGCAGATGCTGTCTTCCTCGTCTGGAGTGGGGTACAGGCTCGCTGGCTGATACGAAACGCCTGGTGAGGAGCATCTCGTCTTCCCCGTCACCAATGGCCCTCAGGTGGCAAAACTCAAAGCGGGACCTTCTGAGCCAGCCGCCAGGCTGGAAGGGCAGCGAGTCCAGGTGCCTCCTAGCGGACAACAGGGTTAACAGGTGGGTGCCGATGCTGATGCTGTAGCTGCGGCAGCGGGCTCTGTAGTCGTCTGCACACAAGGCTCTCATTTTCTCCAAAAACAGCTCGTGCATGTTTTGGGCTACCACACAGTCATCGACCTGCATCCATAGCTCCCCCGGACCGATGACGGTGGACCTGCCGACTTCCAAAAAGAAATACTGCTCCGAGTGGCCGCAGCGACGAATGCTCAGGAGCTGCACGACCACGCTGGCCACTTCGGTGTTTAGCCTCACAAACACAACCTCCTCGTCGGTCAGGCAAAGCCGGAACACGCCGCTCAGCTCTTTTCTGTGCCCCAGCCCCCTTGGTTTGATTACTACCTGCCACACATCTTTGTAGAAGGGTGGCTCCGCCGCCGCTGCCGCCGCCACCAACGCGGCCCCCTCTTGGTCCGGCTGCACGCCGGGCGTGCCGCAGCGGCGGCGCTTGCTCTCGAGGATGAGGCGGCTGAGCAGCAAGTACCAGCTTTCCTGCTCCGACTCGTTCTCGGCCACCATTGCAAAGTACTCGTCCTGGGTGAAAAGGGCAATGAGGTGTCGGTACCTTGCGTCGGCTCGCTGGCTCACGGAGAAGCACTGGTACAGGGTGATCACGCGTCGCGGCGGGATGAGCGCGGGCATCGCGGCGCCCGAGGCGGCCGCCGCAGCTGCAGCCGCCGCGGCGCGGACACTGTGCCGGAACTTCCTGGCATTTTCGTAGTATTCCAGCCGAGCTGGGGCGTCCGCGGTCTCGAGTTTAAGTACGAAGTATCGCCTGTGCCCATGCTTCTGCTTCCGCAGGTAGCCGCGTTTGCAGACTTCGTCCCCGACGGGGAGGTCTTCCTCCTCGGACTCCGAGTCTGACCGGGAGCCAGTGGCCGCGGAGAGCCACATGGCTCCCGGACAAGACGACCCGGTCCCAATGAGTGCGGTCGGGGTTCCCGAGGAAAGAAGTGGGGTGGTCGCCGCCGCTGGTGAAGCTGCCGCTGCTGCCGCTGCTGCAGCTCTCAGGCTACTTGTCACTTCGTCGCGAGCGAAGGAGCAACTCGCCATGGTGATGCAAGATGGTTTTAAGG